AAAAAAAAAAAAAAAAAAAAACAACAATAACAATAATACCCTAACCAAATATGTAATGTAATATATCACACTACAGTTTTGTAGATTAAGCGTAATTGTCTAATATGAATGACTTGCCACCCACATTTTTATGGTTTGGTACTGTGCCTCTTTCACATATTTGTGATAGTCAAAGCTTTAATATTCCTTACGGCTGATAAATCTTAGTCCCTTAATCACGAATTGAATCCTTAGCTGTTTTTCTATCCCATGAATCCTCCCTATCATTTAGATTCTATATTTGTTGTTTAGCTAAGAGAAAAGGAATCATTTATGAAATCACTAATTCTCATGGATGTTAGTGTGGTTACAATCACTCACTAAAGTCATATAAAAATGATTTTTAAAATATTAATTTTATTTAATATGATTGTTATAAGTAGTTAATAATTGATAAAATAATTTATATTTATTATTTAATATAACAAAATTAATTAATATTTTTAAATATTATAATTAATTATTTAAAAAATTAAAAACTAATAAAATATTAATTAAACTAAACAATATTTGTGTAACCATAACATATTATTATATTAGTACATGGTTATAACCACACCCCAAGGATTTGACCAATTAGAGATAGAAACTAAGATTTCGTTTAGTCTATGGTTTTAATTTTTAATTTTTAGTTTTAGTTTTTAATAGTTATAAAATTTATAAAAATTTAAATTTAAAATTTAAAATTTATATCTGTCAAGTAGTTCCCAATAACACACCTCCAATAGACCCAAATGGATTTTTGTCGAAAAGCAAGTCACATAAATATTTGACAGATAATGATTTAATAATAAAGATTTTTTTTTTATCTTGATTATACAATGAGAGATAATCATCTCTCATCCTTTATCCCACCACACCTGTCATACGATTCGAATTCAGAATCTCGTACAACAAAAGAAAATAACTACTAAATTACTTAAGTCATTAACAACAATAAAATCTTTAGATGAGTAAATTTAAATATTTCTTAAAACTAATATGAGAGGCTAATATACATTGCATTAAGATGAAAAATGAGGAGAACATAAAGCACGGACAAAAACCACTAAATAAAATTTTACTATCTTTTTAAAGGTAGCAAGCCCTGCCACGACCCAAGCTGCAGAAAAATTACCTGCCAGGTCCCAAATGGAACTCACGTAACAAAATAAAAAAATAAGCAACTTGTGTAATAGATTAAAATTATTTTTGTTTTTATTTCCTTAATAATTATGATAATATATTATAAAAATATATAAAAATAATTGGATTTTTTTAAAATTGTAAAATTTTATAAAAATAAAAAACTACAAGAATATTAGATAGAACCTTAATTTGTGTTTGAGTCTTTGCTATGCTTTGTTCATTTTGATTACCTACTTAGAATCTTTTTAAAAAATAAAAAAGATACCTTAAACCGGATGGTGATTGGTCTCGAGAAAAGATCAGGACCAACTCATCTTTATAACGAGTCGATCCCAGTCATCCGATTTTAGGATCAACACTGGCCAGTCTTAGTCCCATTTTTTATTCACTTTTTAAGTTATTTTTTAAATATAATTATTTTTTTAATATAAAAATCATGATAAATTTTAATTATTTATAGTACAATAATATTAAAACTTTATGTAAGTAATATGTGTAAATAAATCTTAAAATAAAGAATTATAGAAAAATAGAATTTCTTTTTGATATATACATCATATATTCAATCCATTGCCTCAGTTGTGATATGCATTTTCTTAGCTACACTCTATTTTTTGGCATGTTATGAGTTCTTTTCTTAGGGGTATTTAATTACCTTGATCTCTATTATTGTTAGTTAATTTGATATGTAGTTTATATGAACTCTAATAACCTCTTTTATCATATTTGAGTATTAATTACAAATAAGAAAAATATTTGTTTATTTTAAAATTTTTTTATAAAAATATTAATTTGAGAGGACAAATTTTCACTAATAAAACAAATACATAGAGTAGTTACTAAGGCTCCACTGTTTAATATAATTTTAATTTTTAGTTTTTATTTATATATATATAATAACTA